CGTCGACGACGACCACGACGATCACGACGCTCGCCTCGCCCAACACAGCACCGCCAGCCTCCTCCACCGTGTACACGAGCGTCGCATCGTCGGCGCCTGCTTCCAAGCCACGATTACCTCCGTCCACGGTGATCCTGAATCAAAACGATGCATCGGAGGACAGCAATAAACGGGAGTCGAACAGAAGCAACGAGAACAAGGAAACCGCTGTTCTTCATCCACGACCAACGCCACAGACCAAGCCCAAAGAACTCGATGGTTACGTGGGTTTCGCGAATCTGCCTAACCAAGTCTATAGAAAGGCCGTTAAGAAGGGATTCGATTTCACTCTGATGGTCGTCGGTTAGTTCGATCGTATTGCTCTTTCTCTTTTCTTCAAAAACGAATCGATCGGTCCCTCGACCCTTCACGAAAAGCGTCCACCGCTCTCTATGTACATCGTCGACTACGTTATGCCGTTGATGTTACATCGTAGTATCGAGATAAACAGGTGCAAGTAGTATCGCGTGCAATTTACTTCGATACGTATGTATTTCGATGGACTTTAATAAATTGGCTCTCAACGTTACGCCATACTCGATTTCTCTAGACTCGGGAAGGTACTCTTTATGTAAATACTGGTCGCTTGATCGAACATGTATCCAGGTAATTGCGGATTAATCGATTTAAGTGCAACGACCGATATTTTCAAGAATATACAGAGTTTTATTTTTTTTTTTTACAAAGGAGTTTATCGAGTCCAGAAAATACAGATTTTAAGTACATTATTCGCAATAAACGTGAATTTTTGTAATGGTATGTTAGGCAAAGGTACCGATAGACGGCGGTACGACTTAGCCATGTTGTATTATGTGTCGGTGTTTTACATTTTTCGTTGTGTGATGCAGTTTTTGGGTTTAAGCCTCTGGGGAGCGGAGCTTTTTTTATGTATTTTTTTTTTATTTTTTTTCTGTCCTGAAAAACTTGGTCGCGAAACAGGACGCTTCGGTCGCAAAACAGGACGCTTCGAGAATATACAGAGTTCCTTTAACGCGACGTGAGTTTGCATATACGCGAAATCTAGAGAAAAACGCGAGAAGAGCAGCGCGGAAAAATAATGATCGCGTAGAACGTAAGGCTTAGGGAGACGAACGGTTAAGGCGAGTTCTAATTCGTTGTAAAGGGAATTCGTTTTTCTCAAAGGGGCCGTAAAAAATGTACGCTACGACTTCTCCTGCGTCCCTTTCCTTGCATCAACGAGTACGGATATCAATCCATTGTGCGAATAAACGCACGCCGGACTTTTGTTTTTTCTTTCCTCTTCTCTCTTCTCTTTTGTCGTCCTTTAACTTTCCTAGATCCAGGGACAAAGAGAGATCCGTTTCTCCGGTTGGTATTTCAATTTCGTCGACGATATTGCCTTATGAACCTCCATCTGTTTAACACGTGCAGAACGCGCTCTTTCACTCGACTGGATTAGGGCTGACTCGAAGCAGCAGTGGTTCTCACGCTTCTTATTTTCTTTGAAAAATCCTTGTTAAAATCAAGTTTGTCTTGCGATTAGTTTCCAGCTTAAATCGCTGGACATTAAATTCACGTGGAGATATGTATACAAATTTCTTGCTTCAGGAGAATTACGATTCAAATTTCTATCGATTTATGTATCTTACTTTCTTTTATTTTTTTTTTTTTTTTTTTTTAAAATTTCATTATGAACCTCCATCTGTTTAACACGTGCAGAACGCGCTCTTTCACTCGACTGGATTAGGGCTGACTCGAAGCAGCAGTGGTTCTCACGCTTCTTATTTTCTTTGAAAAATCCTTGTTAAAATCAAGTTTGTCTTGCGATTAGTTTCCAGCTTAAATCGCTGGACATTAAATTCACGTGGAGATATGTATACAAATTTCTTGCTTCAGGAGAATTACGATTCAAATTTCTATCGATTTATGTATCTTACTTTCTTTTATTTTTTTTTTTTTTTTTTTGTAAAATTTCATGTCATAAAGAGATATTGACCAAATCGATTGGTAATAAATAAACGATCGATATTCTGCAATGAGAAGCGCGATTCTGGAAAAGTTGTGGCGATAGATCGCGTCGCGTCGCGTCGCGTCGTGTCGTCTGCATGGAAGTTTGAAATTCGAGAATATAGGCGGAGTGCTGCTATTATTAGTACCGGTATAAACCGAGCCATTTCTCCGTAAATAGAGCAATTCAGACGCTTATCCTTGAAGGAGAGAAGGCGCGGCACTTTGGTCAGTTCAAGGTACGCGGGCAGAAAGGTCAGGGTACCGTTCGGTATTTCAAACTGCCCCCTAAAAGAAGATCAAAGAAAAGAAATGCTTGGTCGTGTAGCAAAATAAACTTGCTCAGTAATCGATTTCCATAGTTTCAATTATTCCTCGTTACTCCGATAAATAATATTTTTGTATGTCTACATAGGTGAGTCGGGACTAGGAAAATCCACTTTGATCAATTCCATGTTCCTCGCTGATATATACAGTGCTGAGTATCCCGGTCCTAGCCTTAGGGTGAAGAAAACCGTAGCCGTAGAGACTAGCAAAGTATTGTTAAAGGAGAACGGTGTAAATCTCACGTTGACCGTCGTTGACACGCCCGGATTTGGCGATGCGGTCGACAACAGCAATTGGTAATTTCGATGAAACTAACGTGTACACAGATTTAGAATGGAATTACGCAACAAAGAGTTAAGAAAGATATTCTTGTTTCAGTTGGGTACCGGTGATCGAATATATCGAGTCAAAATACGAGGAGTTCCTGAACGCCGAGTCTCGTGTAGTGAGACGGCAGATACCAGACAGTCGAGTACATTGTTGTCTCTACTTCGTCGCACCCTCCGGCCATGGTTTGAAGCCGTTGGATGTAGAGTTCATGCAACGTCTTCACGACAAAGTTAACATTATACCTGTCATCGCGAAGGCGGACACCATGACGCCAGACGAATGTGCTCATTTTAAGAAACAGGTTCGTATTATCGAGTAAACCGGTTGTAATCGCGTATCGACGCGCGAACAAACTTCTCTCGCGTTGCTTCGTATGTCGAATAGTTATCGCTGATAGCTCGCACAGGTGCGTGTCAAATTGTAAACTTGCGGTGTAGCGTCAACGCGTTGACCATTTCACGCGTAGCCGATTTGTTAGAAAAACGGTGTAACCTTGCTTGATCGTCTTTAAAGCTGGAATCTGTCGTTGTTGATTGTTTAGATTTTGAACGAGATAGCGCAACACAAGATAAAAATTTACGAGTTCCCGGAAGTGGAGGAAGAAGAAGAAAGTAAACTGCATAAAGTTCTTAGAGAAAGAGTGCCGTTTGCGGTGGTGGGTGCAAACACCGTGGTCGAACAGGATGGTAGGAAAGTTCGTGGAAGGAAGTATCCTTGGGGAGTCGCAGAAGGTATATAATTCTAGAGAATAGCTTGAGAACAGTTCTCCAAATGTTTTAGCTTCGTTCGAATTTCGAGCAGAAATCATGCTTTCTTTCTTCCGATTGTTTAGTGGAAAATTTGGAACATTGCGACTTCATAGCACTCCGAAACATGGTGATTAGGACGCATTTGCAAGATTTGAAAGACGTGACAAATAATGTACATTATGAAAATTTCCGATGTCGCACGTTAGCCGGCGTTGGAGTGGATGGAAAACCGACAAAAGTCTCCAATAAGTAAGTGTACCATTCGTACCTAGTTGCTATAAATGTAAGACGCTTGAAAAGGAAAACTGAAATTTACTATGTACGTTCGTATATACATATACATACATGTATAGGATTAAGAACAGGAAAATATTATAGAGTAAAAGTTCAATGATATTTGTAAATCCCATAAAACACGATAATTAATTACGTCAATTTCCGTTTTGTTTTCTTCTTTTTAACGCAGACATAGATACTCGTAGTCTCATTGATTTTGTTTCGTTCATTTTACCATAACAGTGTAAAAAGCTTGTGCATGCAAACTATTGAAGACTGAAGATTATCTCTGTAAGTCATATACGTTTGAATCGGATGTCATATTAGTTAACATTATTAATATATTATAGTTTAGGCTAGCGACGAAAGTGATCCTGAAAATACTTTTTTTTTTAATAGTATATCTCATACGTGAATTTTAATGCTGATTTCTTATTGGTTAGTTTGTGCCCTCCAGGAGTGATGAACAGTTTCATGACAGTGTGGTAAGTCTTTCAATAAGACCGGGATCGTGTAATATAGTTTTGTGTGCACAAGCCTCTCCAATTTCCATTTTCTACGCATTTAGTTCTACGCGTATTTATTTAGTTAAAGAGGGAGGGGCGGTTCACTCTGTCGATACATGGCGTACATTCTAAAATTTAATCGCATAAAATGGAATAATAATTGTATACGTCGCTCATTCAGGAAGACGCTAAAATCGACGTTTATCAAAACATCGTTTATCAGAATATATCAAGAACTTCTATAAAGATTATGTTTGTAGTGAACCCTCTGACTGGATATTTACTTTAAACAAGTAGATCGCATTATAGTTTAATTCTGCTATAATTTAGTTAGAAAATCTTTATCGCTGATTATATTTAGTACTATTGAATATAACACGCGAATCCGCTTAGTTTTAGTCTACGTTTCCTTTTCTTCTGGCATTTTAATTTCCATTTCCATCTTTCTTATGTTTACAATTATTACGACAAGTTACATTTTCAGTTTGCAATTCCCCATACACGTAGATAGATCACCCACCAAAAAAAAAAAAAGAAAAAAAAACATAACCCAAGCGATTGGTAAAGAAACTTTTTATAAAATATTTATCTTCGTTTAACAAAATATCGTCGACCTTGAATTATTCGTGTACGTTTTGTAGGAATCCGCTGGCTCAGTTGGAAGAAGAGAAAAGGGAACATGATAATAAAATGAAGAAAATGGAGATTGATATGGAGCAGGTGTTTGAAATGAAAGTCAGAGAGAAGAAGCAAAAACTTAAGGACTCGGAAGCGGATGTAAGTATTCATCGGCTATGTATACGTACGCATCTTCGAAAGAACTTGTTTTAATCAGCGGAAAAATTGATTTAGCTACAAAGAAGGCACGAACAAATGAGACGCTCTTTGGAACAACAAGTGCGTGAATTAGAGGAAAAGAGACGAGCATTCGAGACTGAAAAATTAGCATGGGAACAACAGACTGGACACAGTATCGAAGAATTACGTAGACGCAGCCTGGAAGCTAATTCGAAAGAGTAAGTATTGTTTAAGTGTATAAGATCTGCTTCCGTTTGTCCACATTTTCGTAATCGTTACGATATACCATTCTTTATGTGAAAAGATATTAAATACAAAGAAGAAGATCTGCTTCTTGCACGAATGGAAAGCTATTTTACAAATTAGCAAGATATAGCTTTATACTTATAGTAACTGGGGAAACAGTATAGATGGACAGTGTAACGCTTTAACGAGTATACCGAATACTTTATCGAACTAAATGAGATGCAAATAACTAGAAATATCTTTTAATTGCTTAAATCTTTGCTTTAGGAAGATCATTCGGCTGAATATGTGCAATAAAAAGCATTTATAATAAGCTTGTAGCATAATTGTATTTTATTATAATTCACTATTACTAATCTTAATTACGATTATCGTTCTTTCTTATCTTGCCGTTCTCTCTGACAAATTTGCCATATCCGATTTTTCCTTTTTTTTTTTTTTTTTTTTTTCGAAATTTATGTAGAAATGGTTCCACGCAGCTTAGTCTAATAGCAGGAAATTACTAATAATTATTAATAAGCATGTACAACGTAATCATCCCTTTGAACGTAATTCAAGTTCATTTAACATAATGTATTCATTCGATATTAATTCAACGTGATTCGGTACATTCCCTGGCAATTTTGTTTCGTTCCAAGATGATTGGTTTTAACAGGCTATTGTTAGGCAAATCAGTCATTCAAATATTACTGCTTCCAAGCTTTTTTAGATGACTAATTTTTCTTCTTTTCTTTTTCTTTTCTGTTTTTAAAATTACTTTTTAAATATTCGAAAAAAGATACATCGTTTCCACGTGTATGCGATGTCTGCTCCTTGTGCACCACGATTACGTGTACTGCAAGACCGAAAACGCAAAATACGTGCATATAATAGAAAGATATCTACTTGGAGTTTTTTTCGTTTGGAACGCTTAGTATTTGAAATTAGTACCGAATGTTTGATACGATGAAACGGAACAAGTACATTCTCGGCGTGTTCATTTAAGAAAGCTTTTTTTACGGACGAATGTTATGTGATGCTTGCGCTTGTTTGTTTGTTGTGTGTATACCATATCGGGGTGTCCCTTAATTTAGGACGGGATCAGTGTCTTCCGAGGGATCTGGCGGTGGCGGGGGTACATTGAAGGGTTCCCGAGGGATAGGAAGTCTCCTACGCCGTCACACCAGTTTCAAATCACCTCAAGACAGCCCTACACAGATACAGCTTGTCATACAACATCCCGAGCATCCTTAGTAGATCGTAGAATCTATATCTACATTTACTCACAAAATGCCTCTACGTCGCTGTGTCCAAGGACTAAAATCTTTCAAAACATTAACGTCGATCTCATTTTTTATACGTTTGTTGCGTGTGTTTATTTTACCGACGATACAACGTGTACGTACAAATATACCGTTATATACAATGCGTATTCGTATACGTCCACGAAATTTAATTTACACATCGTACGAGTATTTGTGTATCTTTTTGTCTGTCCGTTATTTTTTCGATTAGCTTTGTTTTATAATTAGCAGGAGGTGTTCGCGTTGAAAAGTATGCTAATTAAGACTATTGTGAAATAGTATAATTCGGTTGCTGCGGTGTACGGTAGCAGGTATCTTTATCGCTTACGTTTTCTTTGTTTCTCGAACGTTTCGTAAACGAAAACGACGAATATCCTTGAATATAAGACCAAGTTTATAATACACATATATCATAAATGACGAAGAATCACCGTCAGCTTGGAATCGAAGTGAATTAGTGGTATTTACGATGATCACTGAAACACGAATGCTTGTCTACTTATAATAGAATCGAAGTACCATTAAGGAAACTGAATAACGTCTGATGTTTATTTATAGGCGACGATGATAAACCTTATGTTGCGAAAAACATTAGATCTTAAAGTGAAGAACTAGAGAAAGGAGATACCTTCGTATCGAAAATAAATTTTGATGGTAGTCTTACGTTATCCAGATAGATATTTTTAGACAGGCATATTTTTGGCACAAAGTTTGATAAAATTTACGTAAGCGTTGCAAAAACTCTTTATATTCATATGGATATCACAATTTTATATTCACAGCAACATGCGTTACACTCATGCATAACTTAACTTGTATGAACTCAAAATAACATTCACACTTCGTCAAGTATTATGGAAAGCTATTGTAAACTCTGAACAAGCTGTCTGTTTATTTTTCTCTCCTTTTTGTTACTTTTATTTCCATTGATACATTCCAGTTCGCATGTATTGACATTCCCTTTGCATACGAGTTTAATATCTCTTTTCAGATCTTCAAATCGATATGAGTCGAACCGAGAGACAGCTTGATAAAGGGTGATACTAAACACGATCAATAATAATTGGTCAGAAAAAACGATTACTATGCATTGTTAATTTCATCATTAAACCTTTTTTTCGCAAATAAACGTAATGCTTTCCTAAAACATTTACTAACCATCTTCGTCGCCCTCGTTTTATTTAGCCTTATTGCGAATAAGCGATGTCCAGGATGATACCGATTAGTGTCAGAAAAATATTTGAACGTGACTTTAAAACATACAGCGTGGCATATCGTACTTGCCTAACATGTGTCTACGTTACGCCTCCTTTTCCGTATTATGTGTTTTCACATTTTATGTATTTTGACGTTCACATGCACAAATATGTATGGAAAATAGCGATTTTATATGTATTTCTCCATTACAAATTGAACATCAAAGATCTGATTTGTTACGTATAAGATTTTAAACGTGTATTGCTTCAACAGTTTATTAATTACACATATAACGACTATATACATATAAATAGTTGCAATTTGAAAAGCAAAATATTCTTAAGTTACTTATAACAAGTGTACGATACATTAACATTCAGAAAACAGAAAGTAACAGTTGCAGATAGCATGTGACTCGATAGTCGTGGCCCATAAAAGTATATATTTCTCGAAGCATGATTTTGGCATGGCTAGATTATACGTATATTTCTGTATATATACGATAATTTTATTGTTGATGGATATACACATTGCACTGCATATCTTACACGATGAATTTCATAAGAGATTGTACTTTATACAACGATGATGAATTATATCATTTTCCATAAAATGGACATATTAATTTAATGAATATATAAAAATCAGATAACAAGGATATTTATGTTTTTACGAATAGCCAGATAGTAGTTTGTTGCAAGTCATCGATATTCTTCATAAAAGCAGAAGAAAAATCAGTAAATAACTACATCTTAAAATTCATTAACATATTTTGTAAGTTCTATTGTCATCTAATAAATGTAACAATTTCTTATCTCTACTGACGTTGTAATTCTTTTCAGGGCAGTCGACGGTAAGGATAAGAAGAATAAGAAGAAAGGACTATTCTAAGTCGACTTCAGAAAGACAACGTGAAGAGTGAGCTTTTCTTAAAGTAATCGATAGTAATTTTTCTTCAAAAATATCATATTGATAATACGATTTCTTTAAGAGAAATTGGATATAAATTAAGAAAAAAAAAAAGTTTGACTTGAGAAAGATTTATCGATAAAATCTCCCGGTCTATTCTGCATCTGGCTTTTCAAAATTTTCATTTTTTCACGATAAGATATTTTACGATTTTTTACGTCTTAGAACAACGTTGCTCGTGCACATTTCGAAATCAGCAAAGATAAGGCGTGGCTCGGGAGATTCGTTAATTGATTAAAAGACAAGATAGAAATATGTGTTGCTTAAATCATGCAGTTGACACGTGTACTGTGTATACCATTCGTATAACGTTTATACGACCGCCTCGGCATTCTAATAATTCTTTTACGGGCATAAACGTGTTATGCTTTGAAGAGTGAAAATGAAAGTGTTTGTTCTGTCGTGTTTGCCTGTGCTTCTTCGCGCTTCCTATTATTAACGCCCGACAAAATCACACTTAGTACAATTCGATAAACAATAATTGTACAAAATGTAGACATAATTTCAAAGGACGTAATTTTCTTTAACAAAAGTGTTCAAAGGGATGCCGAAAGAGAAACAAAAGATGTTTGATTTCTTTCGATCAATCTTCGTTTCTCACACTGAATTATTTATGTATATTGTCTTTAACACTTTGAATATCACGATTATATGTCAATATTTATGTCGATATTTTAAATACGATAGTTATGTTAATATAGGTGTATAATATAAAAATATCAAGAAGTGTAAGATCTTAATGGCAATTCATGGAGATTTAAGTGTCAAAACAAAATGATCGAACGATAATCGCTCTTGTATCATACATTCTATGTATCATACGTAACTGGAAGTGCAGATTCGGTTGAACGTGAGTTTCTAAGTACTGTTGCACACCTATTGTTTCTAGGCGGAGCGTAAAAATATCTTTCTCCATGGAAGAAAAAATCGAAACGTGCGATACACTATCGACCTAATAAACGAACGAGGTCTCTGTATCTAAAGCTAGCAATAAGTTATATCGATGTTTCTATTACATAATCTAAATTGTTACAGGATAGCGCATTTATATAATTATAAAGGGATGATGCTCACCCTAAGAAACAAATTGTATAAATAATTGTTTTACATCAATCATATTCTTCCTTTCAGTATTCGCTTAATGCGAGTAACAGCGTGCTGCTTTATAACGTAACGAATTATCGAACACGATGAAACTTAAACATAAGGAAAGGACAACGTTATTCGTCTTTTCACTCAACTCTCAACTCGCATCATTCTACGTCGGATCGTTGAATGTGATTCTAAATGAAGCAGTGGCCATATATATATACATATATAAATATATATTTATGTATAAATGAAATCGAGGAGATCGTAAGGATAAGTCGAATTCGTGTAAATTTAAGTTGTATCGATAACGAGACAAATCGGGTAAGATTAAATTGTATAAAATAAATCTAAGTGTATGCTGGATCGTCGTGATTCGAGACAGTGCGTTAATATTTCAGTTCACTGCAAAATCAAAGGAAATAGAAATTATTGTGTTACGAGCTAATTAAGTTTATTATCAAAGCGGATGGTAATCGAATTGATACGGAATATGTACGAGAAGAATAACCGTGCCGTCTCGAACCCGTCCAAGTATACGTTGGTATATGCAACAAGGATGGGCAAACCGATTTAACAATAAGTTCCTTGAATTCTTTACGTCGCATATACGGTCAGTTGTGTTTCTTTTGTTTTTCCTGTTATCTATATCTTTTATTATCGGATACTTTGCAGAGGAACGTTCTCGCCAGATCAGAATCTTCGCAAAAGAAATCCAAAAGTTTGCCCAGTCTTGGATTTGTATTCTAAGCTAATTGAATTACTGGTGTGCCAATACGAAGAGAATAAGCATTTTATAATAACGCTAGTACGTGATTCTTCAGTTTTTGTAAAATAAGATTCGTGCGATTTTCTCATAACAGGCGGAGGAAAAAAGAAGTTTAAAAAAAAAAAAAAGGATTTCGTCTCAATTTATTGGGAAAAACTACGTGTTACATTCCTATTTTGTACGGATTTTTCTAGGTAAAAAGACTCGACTCGTCACCTTGGTCTTTTCTCGATACCGACAATCCATTTAGAAGTTCAAAGCAAATCGCTTCGATCGCACGGAGAACGACGCCGATAGTTTGAAAAGTTTATTAGCAAAGATAATAAACGTAACGCTAAGGTATATTAGAAAGATTTGTACTTTGGAACTACGTGGAAGCAGATACTTTTCAAAATATCGATGTGTCTGAAAGAAAAAAGAAAGAAAAGAAAAAAAAGAGGAAGAAAGAGCGCTTAGAGATACAACCTTCTTCGATGTTAGAAACAGCAATGAATCTAAAAGCGGACATTTAACAAATAACTGAATGATTTGCAATTTCTGCACTGAATAATATTAAGCTCAATAGTATAAAACGTCTGAACAGTACGATATTTTTATCTAAACAGTAGTAAACATACATGACTCTCTCAAGAACGGAGGATTTTCCTTTGTATTCAGTTCTCTTCTATTTTTTTGTGTAAAAGAAAAGAAAAAGAAAAAAAGAGGGAGAAAGGAAATTATTTAAGTGGACTCGTTGGAACTTGCACTTTTTTTTTTTTTTTTTTATAAAAATTCCAATGAGGAAGACGTCGAAATCCGAAGTACAAACGCACATTCTACAGCGAAGATCAACTTAATGGAAACTAAGATTTTTAATACCATACGAGATTCAAATTGCAATGGATATTTTGTTGAAAATTTTCGTATCTATCTCTTCGAAGAACAAGAAAACAAGTGGAATAATCGAGTACTTAAGTTTTTACTTTTCTGAGAATGACGTTTCAGAAAGTTATAAAGCGGAAGATAAACTCCTTCGTGTTTCTAAGACCTAAGTATATCTCAATGATGAATAAAAGCAAAAGACTTATCTTATCGCTATTAAGGATTTATGCATCTGCTTAGTTGACCAAATAAAAGCTGTTTATACATTTCAATGTTGTATTACGCGTAGCTGTAAGATATAAAAAGTCGATGAAACGGAAGTGTATGATTTACTGTATGTTTACTCTAATCAGCAATGCTTATAATATTTAAATAGTTAATCGTCATAAATCGCGTGAGTCATCACGATACACGATCATTACACATATTATACGTATACGCCATACGCGAGGCACAACACAACAATAATAAAGGAAAAAATAAAGCGAAAGTAGGTAAAACAAACGCGAATTATATTTTGCCGTGCCAGACGAAAACAAAGCTGCCGCCGCTATCTTGTAGAACATATTGTAATAATAATGATATCCAGAAAAATATCGTATAGTACATTATTATTATTATTATTATTATTATTATTATTATTATTATTACTATTATTATTATTATTATTATTACTACTATTATACTTTAGGATTATGTATTCAGTAAATTATATACAAAATTATCAAACACTATGTTACTGCGTTTCGAACCCATCTTTTGTGCATTTTTGAATACTAAATTTGTTTTTCATTCCTATGCAGATAAAATTATGTATATATGCATTGTACGTAATACAAAATGCATCACATAAGAACAAAAAAAAGGAGTGAACGGATAATTGCTGTTTTACATTAATTTACGTGTTGTCGATGTTACAATATCCAAATCTTTCTTCGCAAACCTAAAATGAACGTACCAAATAATTCGAGGTATGTAATTCGTTTCAACATTGATTCTTCGTAATTTCTGCTCGTTCTTTTTTTCCTCCTTCTAAGATTCCATTATTTCAACCAAAAAAATTTGTAATCTAATCTCCGGTAAGAAAGCCATTTTCATATTAAATTATCATCCCCTCGTTCGTACCAATAGGCAAGACAACGTTCGTTCGTAACAAAAGTTTGGCGCATAATTTTACGCCACAATGTAAGTATTGGAAAAAATAAGTAGAAGTGACAAAGAGGTAAGCGATTTTTAAACGAGTCCAAACGTTTCTGATTACATATATTTCAGATTATAATGTTAAAAGAAACGCATAAAATCTGCCTACATCATTGGCTTTTGAATTATTAATGTAAGATCATGAACCCGATGTTCTTGTGATGTTAATTATATGTAGGAAAATATTTCATATGCAATTTTTTCGTTTCATATCGGTAAAATAAATTAAATACTATATGAAACTATTAAAACGACAAACGATATGATGAATAAAAATCATAGATAATATATACTCTTACATCACAAAAATACCAATCGATTGACGAATGTTTCCTTTCACCCTATTAGCTACACCATATAGAAGAATCTACTGATTAAAGGTCAGAATTGTGTTAGAAAAGCGAAATTTCATATCTAGTAGTGAATTCTTACCGACCAGATCGCACCATTTGCTTCGATCGATATTACTAAGTATTCTCACTAATGAAGATTGATTCTAAATGCTTATTTTCATCTGTATCATTACATTACGGCATATGTAAATGGCCAATTCTTATAAATCCATTGATCCATTGATCAAATCTATTCCTTTCCAGTATCCTATATTCTAACTTACATACGTACAAATACGATGTCCCCCCCCAAAAGTATCATTAAAATCGAAATAATAAAGGATGGACAAAATATTTAAAAATTTGTCCTTGTAATTTTTCGTCGCGCACTTTCTTTCAGATTATTGCGAAATGTAAAAATTAATGCTCGAAACATATCTAAAAGAGAATAAATTATCTTGGAATATGTAAGGATACATATGATATAAATAAATCAAATGTAATATATTCGTAAAGGAATCTAAATAAATGAATTTTTTATCCCCTCCATGTGAGAAGAGGGAATGTGACTGGTTGAATAAGCGGCGGCAGCAGCTCGATGAGCAGCATTTAAGCGAGGAACGTTAGTTTGTAAATTTGGTTTCCTCTAATAAGATCGATTAGCAAGTGAAACCTATAAGTGAGAGAAAAAAAAGGTCAAACGAATTTCAAAGTACGTGCTAAGAAGTTATTCGGTGACCGTAATTTTCACCTGTCGAGTTTCACTTCTAACCTGGATTCGTCAGTGGGTCTGTATCTAGCAGTAAGTAATGTAGCAGTATCCGTCCTCAAAGCACACATTTTCTTCGTTGCAAGTTGTCGACTCAAAACTACGAATGAAATTTTCAAAAATAATATTTGCTGAATTCTTATCGTTCCAAGACTATCATTGCAGTCAAGTGTCAAGAAAACATTACACGAAGGTAACGATATTTGGGGAACGAGTTTAATGCATATTCTACGGTCAACCGGCATCACGTGTATTTTCGAGTACAAGAAAACTATACGTTTCCTGTATATTATCATGAGCATAGTACTTTAAGGATTACTTCAGAAAAATTATATGTACAGGAAGATTTATATAAACTACAAAGTATATTACAACATCTGACAAAATCGATCGATTAAAGTCAAATATCATGTGGCCAAAAGACGTTGGTATCAAAGCGATAGAAATATACTTTCCTGCTCAATATGTTGAGCAAACAGAGTTGGAACAATTTGATGGTGTGTCCGCTGGGAAATACACTATTGGCTTAGGTCAATCTAGGATGGGTTTCTGCAATGACCGTGAAGACATTAATTCTTTGTGCTTAACAGTTGTGCACCGATTAATGGATAGGTATGAAATAAAACCGCAAGATATTGGACGATTAGAAGTTGGAACTGAAACCATATTAGACAAGAGCAAATCAGTTAAATCTCTTCTTATGCAGTTGTTTGAACCATATGATTGTACAGACATTGAAGGAGCTGATACAACCAATGCCTGCTATGGAGGTACAGCTGCTCTTTTAAATGCCATATCTTGGGTAGAAAGCAGTGCCTGGGATGGCAGACTGGCCTTAGTCGTTGCGGGTGATAATGCTGTATATTCTTCTGGAAGTGCTAGACCAACTGGAGGTGCTGGAGCTGTGGCAATGTTAATTGGTCCAAATGCACCTTTAATAATTGATCGTGGAGTAAGGTCATCCTGCATGAAACATGCGTATGATTTTTACAAGCCAAATTTAAAGTCTGAATATCCTATTGTAGATGGAAAATTATCGGTTCAGTGTTATCTTAATGCATTAGATACTTGTTATCAGACTTACTGTAAAAAGATGAGGAACAAGCACAATCACAATGTGACTCTAGACAGCTTTAACGCGTTTTTATTTCATTCTCCGTACTGTAAATTAGTACAAAAGTCATTTGCCAGACTAGCTTTTATTGATTTCTTAAACATATCTAAGGAGGAAGTATCTAAAAAACATCCAGAATTAGCGCAATTTCACGATGTTAAATTAGAAGACACTTACTTTAATAGAGATATTGAGAAATCATTTATGAATTTGAGTAAGCCAAATTTTCAGCAGAAAACACAGCCTTCTTTAATGATAGCAAATCAAGTAGGAAATATGTATACTCCATCTGTATACACTGGATTGGCCTCCTTGCTAATTAGTAAGCCTATAAAAGAATTAGCAGGCTCTAAGGTGGGAGTATTTTCATATGGTTCGGGACTTTGTTCTACTATGTATTCATTAACGATAACAAACGAATGTAACGAAAAATCAAATTTAATGAAAATTATCTCTTCGCTCTCTTATATTAAAAAAGAACTTGATGCTCGTCAAAAGATTTCCCCAGAAGCTTATACGAAGGAATTAGAATGGCGTGAACAGAATTGTCATAGTGTACCATTTACTCCTCATAGTACCACTAAAAATATGTTTCCTGGAGCCTACTATCTTGTACAAGTGGATGAGAAATATAGAAGGACTTACAATAGAGTGTGAAGATTTTGCTATTCCTTAAATAAGCTATTTGGGGTTTTTGTATCAATTATCGAATCAAAATCACGGTGGTGTATGATTATGTATATAATTTAAAAAATGAATTAGTTAATAACTAGCATAAAATATTTTTACCAAACAAAAATGTTCTTAATGCGACATTCATATGCTATGAAATGTACACTTTTGACTTTTAAATCTATTTATAAATATAAAAAATTTATTAATACAAATTATATAATAGATATATCAATTACTTTCACAAAAATACCTCTGTTCATATATATATTTATTTATTATGTACAGTTTTTAATATATCTATTGTACATGTTCTATATTCTTTTTAGTTAACAAGGAAGCTACAATCATTGTGCTTTATTATATTAGAAATATTCATATGAAAATATGAAAAAAAACATACACTTTCTAATTCATATAAAAAGCCTTTAAAGAAGTATTCCCTTTTAGTGCATTTTTGTTTAATATTAATTGGTTAATTATGTAAATATTTATAAAAATAATAAAGAATTAAACACAGATTTTATGCACATGTTAAAAAAGTGCCTTAATAATATGTTGTTCTTTTAACCTTTCGATGTTCACAGTTTTTTGTATGCACATATAGAAGGATTGATTATGCCCATGATGGATAAGAGTGCCAATGGGTTAATCATGAAGTTGTTCCTACATTAGGGGTATATATCCATATGTACATAGAGTGTAATATATCAAAAGTGAAATGACTTGTATGTAAAAAGATAATTCAATAATTTTATTGTTTTTCCCTGCATATGTAAGTCAACTGGTATGTTAATTACAACAAAATTTTCAAATTTTGATATATTTTGTCAAAAAAGTGAACACTTGTAGTTTATGCGTCGTAATTCACAAGCAAATGTTTATCTTGTTTAACTAATATCTTCTTAAATATTTTTATTTTAATTATATGATAGATAAACGTGAAGTACATCATATACATTTTATTTCAATAATTTCGATATTACAATAACATTAAAAAAATAGTACAATAGCAAATTTTTTCTTTAAAAAAATATATTAATATAATATTTGTTCTTTTTGAGATTCGTTTCATTAAAAATAAATACGTGCATTAACTTTTGCTACATATATAAATAGTTGAAATATATCAGTGACGCTGAATATTATGAAATCTAAGCATTTGTATTTACAAATGTATACGTTTAAAATACTCGATCTTAAGTCTCTAGTGAAATAGCAGATAAAGAGAGAATAGTAATTTTTCAGATTAATACAAAATCCATAATGAGTTCCTGTTCCATAATCAAATGGTCACAAAATACTGGCTTTGTAGCACAATTATTACTATTCTGTCATTATTAACAATATAATTAATTTCTTTTAATATCACATTATTTGGATAGTTATAAAAATATTGTACATTGCTTTTCCATTTTATATACAAATTTAAACATAGTAAAGATATGTATATCATTTGTTTATAAACCACTACCTAAAATATTTTGTATGGACAACCTGAACAAGAAGACAATTTTCTACTTGCACCAAGTCTAACAACTTCATCTTCATTAGCATTTATTTGACGATTTTCATGTCTTCTCTGGAAAGAAGTAAACATATGCATTTCTTTAAGATTATATGATATACGATTATGAAAACAGTATATGTTTACTTATATTTTATATTTTTATATCTTTTTTTATTATATATTTTACATTTTATATGAAAGCCAAATGCTTACTTTAAGTTCTGCTGCCAGGTAGAAAAATACAGAATCTATATTGGTATTCTCTTTGGCTGATGTTTCTACCACTTGTAACACTTCAGGAAGATATTGACAAAGAGCTTCTGCCTCTCCTTTCTCAACCTCTCGTAGACTTTCTAAATCACATTTGTTACCTATAAGTTTTTTATTCGTTAATATCTAGTATTCAAAGCATAATTAAAACAAAATATACAAACAAATCTCACCAACTAAAATTAATAACACATGTGATGAAGTATACCTTCGTACTTCTTCTACCCAATGTTGTAAGCTTAAGAATGTAGATCTCTTTGTAATATCATAAACTGAAAGTTGTTTAAGCCATTATAAATATTTCCATAGTTAAGGGAACAAAAAGGTAGAAATGATATCTCTCACATACCTACAATAACACCATTAGCAGATCTATAGTAACTTTGGGTTATTGTACGAAATCTTTCTTGGCCAGCTGTATCCCATATTTGCAACTAATAATAATAAAATATCTTTAAACATTTTGAATTATTTGTATATCATTATATATTAAGTGATATATATATTTTATATAAAAAAATTATATTACTAATTTGAAAAACATAATGTAACAATATTTCTTATGTATTATAATATAGCTGTTCTATTTTATATAATTAAAGAAAAAGATATTATCAATACCAGTTTGTACAAAATAATTCAAGCTAAAGTGAAAGTTCGCCTTTAACAAAAAATTATCTATTCGATCTCACATTCCCATGTTAAATTATATTTATTTAAATAATTTTATATTAAAGAAGCTATTGAGCTCTCTTCTTTAAAATTTATATATAAATTACTTGTAGGTTATAAATGTCAAAAAAATTGGAGAAATATAGCGATATTGATCATAGATCAAATAAACGTACCTTAACTTTCTTGTCATCGATTAGTACAGTCTTCATGGAAAAGTCTACACCAATTGTGTTTCCATGCCTCTCGATAAATGTACCAGATCGAAATCTTTGAACAACACATGTTTTTCCTGTCCCACAATCGCCAATGAGCACAATCTTGAACAAGTAATCAAAATTTTCATCGTTCGTGGCCATCAAATTGTCCGGATCACGGTTCGACATTTCTTTCCTATCGTCGAAATAATTTATCAAATCGACGACACTCTTTATAATCCGCACATCCAGACCTACCGACTACTTACGCCATTGTTTCACTCAACTCGTAACTCCACCACTTTATAAATGTTCTTATAATTAGTGCAGTTGGTACGCGTAAGATATTCGTTGAAACCAGATTCAAACATTAGATTTCCTTTCTTTTTCAATCTAACCTGTTGTGCACCTTTTATTTTATAATTACAAATTCACCAATTTTTTATAAAAATAAATCGTTTCTGATGAAGTTTAAGATACAATGTATTTATTTTATTTAAAAATGAGATGGTACTTCAATACATTCACTACAAATACAAAATTACATTTTACTTCAATAAGATGAACATAGGTGTTATATGCATTTATTATAAACATATTTTCACATAAACATACTCTATATCTAATTAATTGTAAATATAGTAGAAATTAAAATAACAATTATTTTCGTGATGTGAATTTGGAAAGGCCTTCTAATAAGCTAACATACGCGGTATGTTCGTAACTCGTACTCAGGTCAATCAATTTCTCCGCAAACTCGTTTGAAATGCCTTTCTCTTCGAGATAATTCATCAGCAAATCATATAGATACTGAAAAATAAATATATATATTTCTATAAACATATATAAAAAGAAACATGAAATTAATTAGATAAGAATCTGTAGTAAATCATTGTCACATTCTCAAGTATTAATTTTATCAATAATAAAATTATTCTATGTGCGAATGTTTTACTTTTCCAAAGATCAATAATCAAATTGGTTACCAGATACTCCAATTTGTACTCAACACTTTGGTTTGTTTTTTATAGATACATATAAGCTCATTATAGAATATATATATTAATTACTTACCCCATCAATAATTTCACCAGCAACGGCATACACTTTGTCAGAATGTTCTCCTGTATATAAAGTAATTTCATCTATACCAAAGATGTCATCTGAAATTAAATGGATGTATGAAAAACACATTCATCTAATTGTACAATAGTACATACATGTATTGCTATAAGTTAGAATTCAATGTTACTTACTATAACTTTCATTGGCACCTGATGCACCAGGTTCATTGTTAAAGGAACAGGTGAATCCAAGAGTCTGATTTTCTCTAACTATATCAACTGTGAAGGATGGTTTACTTTTCATATCACCAATGTCTGGAGTATCACTAGTCATTTCAACATCAGGTTCAGAATCAGAATCAACAGTATGATTTATGTTAAATGAGATTCTAATTCTGTAAAAGATAATTTGTAGTAAAAGAAGAAATGTATTTTCTACTGAAAATAGTTTATCATATTTTATAATAATATAGCATGTTAAAAGTTCTGTTACGTTTCATTATCTTGCTTCTTTTCCAAATTAACATCTGCCCCATCAAGCGAGACTTTAAAACCATCTAATTGAGTGGGAATAGTTTTTAATTTTTGTGCATTCTTTTCTGCTATGATTTCTTCAGCTAAAAATTCTACAAGCTCCTTCTCAGCTATAAAAAGGAGAAGGAAATAATTATGATAAAGCGATAAAACAATTACTCAATGAAAATATTTCAGTCCTAACATAAATAAAGTATATAAAACTTATATTATTAGTAACATAGATATATCACAATATAAATGTATAAATGTTTAAAAATGCAATTACTGAAATTTACAATATATATGATTGATTTATATGACGATGAAATGATGAAATAAATTACGATATAATGTACCTTTCGTATGAGAATGCCGACAATAACCGAAATTACAAGAAACACTTGGATGCTTAAATAGTTTTGTCGAAGTGATAGGTGTGATTTGGATTCGTCGAGAATCGTTCCACAGTGTTCTTAATTGATTACTTGCGATTCCTGTAGTCGAAGTTGCCGTATACAAATTTTTAATTACCGGCGAACATAATATCTTCCTTATTATTCCATTCATTTTAATGTTCACAACTAACGTTGGCTTTCTTCGAATCGTATAGGTATACGCATAAAATGGATTTCTAATAAACCGAACACGAGGCAGGATGAATACCACCGTCACGAATTCATAAACTATATAGTCTACCGTCCCCTTGTAATTTCTAGAACAAACATTTGTATGGTGATTTCTAGTAATTTTTTGTTCGAAGTGAAGATTGGAATTAACACATGTGACGTCGCCCAAAAGTAGATTGTCATCATGTTATTAATTCCTATGGTCACGACAGCGCGCGCTATCTAAATATTCGAATAACTTACTCAACTTAGCTTTTAACTTCATAATAATAAAGACAACCTTACTCGAAATAAACTTTAATTACGCTAACGAAATACTCGACTAAATTAGATGATCACTGGAGTAAGGAAAAGTCCGCAAACAGGAATGCAACTGGAAACAACAAAAGGAGATAATTGCAACGTTGTGTGTCCGCTCGTTTCTACCGCCAAAAAACATCAAGAGCTTTTCGACGAACAGTGTAGCCTTTGACCACCACAGAGCCTTATTTTGAGTGTCTTGAATGATCTTTCTATTCATCTCTAGTATAAGTTCTATGCTATCTTATATTGATATATATCCTTGGTTGATATCGCAAAAAAATAGTGGGAAACGTACAGGAAATACCTCAGTAGAAATACCGCCATAAAAAATATCAAATACAATACGTTGTGTGATGTAGATATATCATTAGCTTTATTCGACGTTTTATAAGTTAGTTTTAAAAGATGTATTCACTTACGGAAGGAGCGTTGGATGTAAGTTTAAACATAGTATTTGTATTTTATGATACAATTGTGATGCAATTTATTTTATCTGATTTTTAGAAAATCATGAACGGGATCGAGGTCGATAGGCCGATATTGCAAATATTGGTAAATAAACTATATCCTCCGTCTAATTTGCTTTCAGACTGAAGTATCTCATTTTTGAATACGATAATTGTTTATAGGGTCACAAGAAATTGTCCAGTTCAAATAGTGGAGAACGTTACAGACTTCTCGTATCTGATGGAAAACGAATAAATTCATTTACGATGCTTGCCACACAATTAAATTCAATGATAACTGATAATGTATTAACAGAATTTTCCATTTGCCAAATAAATAGATATGCTATAAGTGTGGTAAATAATGCTGGCAAACAAAAGTACGCAATAATCATTTATTAAATAAAGAATAACAAAATTTTATTAACAATTCAACATTGAATTCTTTTTATTTTAGACGAGTAATGGTGATATTAAGTGTTGATTTAAAAGTTGCGGGTGATGAAGTTGGACGTAAAATTGGTAATCCAACAAATGCTGACGCTGATGGTGAATCTAAACCAGCACAAAGTGTACAGTCTGCGCAAGCTGCTTCACAACAGCAAAGTAATACACACTAACTATGAATTAGTACAAATCATATCAATAACATGTTATTTTAGTATTTTATTATTCAGGTAGCTTGGTGTCAAAGCATAGTGGTCAACAGTCTTCTACCAGTGATATATCCACAATCCCAATCGTTGCATTGAGTCCTTATCAAAACAGGTGTTTTTAATTTTTCATTCTTTTTAAGTGTCACAGTTTTTTAGTGTGCTAAATAATCTTTTACATAGGTGGGTAATAAAGGCACGAGTTGTCAATAAATCTGCCATTAGAACATGGAGTAATTCACGTGGTGAAGGAAAATTGTTTTCCATGGATCTTGTGGACGAAAGTGGAGAGATTAGATGCACTGCATTTAGAGATCAGTGTGATAAATTCTATGATATGATTGAGGTAATTAGTGTGCTGTTGTATGTATTTTATAATGTTGCATAATAATATACATCTTATTGCAGATTGGGAAGGTTTATTACATTTCCAGAGCATCTTTAAAAACTGCAAATAAGCAATTTAATAATTTAAAAAACGATTATGAAATGACTCTAACTGGTGATTCAGAAATAATTCCATGTCATGACATTGGAGATAAAATTCCAACTCTTCAGTTTGATTTCATACCAATAAACGATATAGAGCAAAAGGAGAAAAATGATATAATAGGTAAATATTGAATTGAAATGTATACTATTTATATATTGTATCATAACACTTTAATCTATTATCTATTAATCATAACACTTATTTGTTGCAGATGTTTTGGCTATTGTAAAATCTCGTGGTGATTTGCAGATGTTAGTATCACGAACCACTGGTAAAGACATGAAAAAAAGGGATGTTAATCTCATTGATGAAAGTAATACTATGGTAAAAATTTTACCTGACTAAATACAATAAAAAAGAAAGTTTTTATAATATTACATAAAATGAGATTTTAGGTAACGCTTACACTATGGGGAACACAAGCTGAAGAATTTTCAGGAAATGATAATCCAGTTTTAGCCATTAAAGGAGCTCGTGTTGGCGAATTTAACGGTGGAAAGAATTTGTCTACTCTCAGTGGAACTGCTGTACAGATTGATCCAGATATTCCAGAAGCACATAGGTGTCAAAGTCATTAATAAGTCTCTGAAACTAATATTGTAATTGCAAAAAATCTTGGTTTTAGAGTAATACTTTTTATTTTAATATAGATTACGAGGTTGGTTTAACACAACTGGATGTCATGAAGAAGCAAAGCCACTTTCAAGAGCATTTGGAAGTGCAGCTCAAATGTCTCAGGCATTGATCACAATTGGCGAAGCAAACAGTCAGATAGATAAAAAGAACGGTCCGGAAATATTTACGGTGAAGGCGACCATTAATCTCTTACGCACTGAAAATATTTTATATAAATCGTGCCCTAGTGAAAACTGCAAAAAAAAGGTAATTATTATCTCGTACTTTATAAGTAGATATAATAAAACACCATCAATTAAGAGATTGTATTTTGCAGGTGATAGATCAAGCAAATGGCATGTACAGGTGCGAAAAATGTAATAAAGAATTCCCTAACTTCAAATATCGTTTACTTGGAAGCGTAAGTGCAAAATAAATTTTGTTTTCATCTATTTAGATGCAAGTCAGATTTATTAATATTTAGCATTTTTGCAGCTAAGCTTGGCTGACTGGACAGACAATATGTGGGTCACGGCATTTAATGACGAAACAGAGAAAATTTTAGGTATTACAGCTCAGGAACTTGGAGAATTAAAAGAAAATGATAACGATGCTTACCTGGAAAAACTTGGCGAAGTAACATTTAAAAGTTTCATATTTAAGATAAGAACGAAAATGGAGACATTCGGTGTAAGTTGACTCAATGCAATGATTCTAATATTTGATTCCAAGATTCTAATATTTGTAATTATTTACCGCACTGGATTATTTACAGGATGAAAACAGGTTAAGATCAACATGTATTGATGTATCCCCAACCGATTGTAAAGCCTACAACGAAGACTTAATAACCAAACTCAAAGAATTAACTGGTATTGATAGTACTTAAAGTTATTCCATTCCTGATAATATTTTCTAGATTTGCGCATGTCTGAGCTCTTTTTGTTTGAAAAAATATCAGTATATTTTTATATTGTTAATTAATCCAATAATAATTTTTTGATATTTCATCACATATTTGTGTGTAATTCAATAATTCCTATATTTAACGTTGCTAAATATACTTTGAAAAATGTAATTACCATAAATTACTCCATTAATTTTCCTACATAAATAGCTATAAATTTAGTAAATATTAAACTTATTACATACATATTTATCATAATATGATCGTGCTGTTCATTAAACTAAGACGTGTTAGGCTTTGCTAAATAATTACTGTGTATAAAAATGTGAAATCGTGTTCCGAATAAACTTATATGTAGATAATCTTGCAATTCGGCATGATTCATTAGAATTATTATGTAGCAGCGTATTATTGTTTAACAAAGTCATCGAAGCTATGAGTATATGAAATTACATATATGCATTTTTCGTAAAGTTACGCATGAATAAAACCAGTTTAGTTAGAAATATCATACAAACGTAATTGCATTTAGTCGACATTATTATCGTTGTGAAAGCAAAGTGTTATATGCCAATCTTCGTTGATACTATTAGGCAGTAGGACTAAGAGTACTTATAATAATGACGACATTACCCTAAACGTGTTTATAATGATGTTATGAATGAATAAACTATATCATGTACGAATGTGTATGTATATACATATATATATAATGGTGTATATATATATGTTGAATCATCACCTTTTAAATAAATTTACAACTTAAAGATTACGTAATATCCTTATCGTACAATAAGGATTAATTCGTTAATGCCATTTGTATTACCGAAAAATATAAGTCACTTACAATGAACTGTATCTGTTAATACATATAATGATTAAAAAGTAATTGGAGTTTATGAATCATACTACTTGAATTATTCACCATCTGTCGAATGGCCTACATAATTGCATAACTATAGTAAACAGCATGATTATTTTAAGTATTACATTGATACTTAACAAATTTGGGAATTATATTTGAATTCAAAGATTCAAAAATTTAACTTTGTTTTAAGTCTTTTGCCCTATTTATATGTGACATATACGCATTTTTACGTATTATAAAAATATTTTAAGCGCATCTGCAGTTCTAAACAAATTTTTTGACCAGTTTACATCCGAAAATGAACATGTGTCAGTAGTTTATGACTCATCGTATTTGTTTGATTACCGCTTGCAAATTACTGGCGTTAAGACCTTGCGCCTGTAGTATGTGTACTGGGCATGCGCGAGCGGCTTACGTTCGTAAAGCGCCAAAACGACGCATTTCGTCGCAGTACGAATTCAACCTTCGCGAAGAGCAGGTGATTGTTACGTAGTACAGTGATTTTTGATTTTGTCTGTATTTGGAAGAACACCATGGCTATTTGTAAGCACTTGCATTTTTATATCAACAAATTATATCGCTAAGTCAATATTAACATCTTTTTTTTTATTACTTTTTCTAATTTATCTCCATTTGTAGTTACATTTTGCCTATTTGACATTAGAAACTCCTTTTTGCATAAATAATTAAACATGATAAATCGGTTAACTGTCATTTTAGAAACACAATTTTTTATCAATATTTACTTATTTAAACTATAATTTTTTTCCTTGTAAAAAAGATAAGGAATATAGGAAAAAATAAAAAATA